GTCATAAGCAGTTTCACGTTACTGGATTACAATACCAAAATGATTTATTTTGGAGGAAGAACTGACCCTGAACTGAAATGTACTTAGCCTGGTAATCAAACCTATGCCGATTACTAAAGTAATTGTGAGCATTTTGCATTGAAGTGTTGTGTTTCTTTTTCTGAAGTGCTTCTTAAAATAAACAATGGCAACTCTATAATCTGTTTAAAAGTAACTGTATACCTAAAGTTCTGTTATTTTCTTCCCTCAGCCTTCAATATTGAGGAAATCTGCATTAAAACATCTCTTATCACCATAGATTATTTATTATTGCTTCTAATTCTCACTCAGAGTGAAAACTGGTTTATGATTGTACATTTTATCATTAGATTTAATTTCAGTTTTTTATAAAAAAGATTAGACTGTGGACAGATCACCCAACTGAATTCTCATTTTGTCATCAACAGAGCAAGAATAATAGTAATAAGATGACTGTAGATAAAGAAATGCAAATTACATGTGTTTTCTTGACTACATGGATCGTCACCTTGAGAACACATAAGCCTGTAGGTAAGCCCATGCTTAAACTCAGCCATCCTGGCATACCACAGTAGTGCCAGGGAATCAACTATTAAATGACCACTTGGATAAAGCTTCTGAAGAAAAAGGCTTTGTTTTTAAAGTTGCTCATAAAATATATGCATTGAAACATGATGCTTAAAGGACCCTGGTAAGACATCAAGTCTACTCTGCTGGTACTGCAAGTAATCTGTCATAAAATACATATGTAAGTGTACAGAATTGCAACAACAGGCATTTTGGTGTCCTGCCATCACTGGTTTTACTGCAGGACTCATCTGGTACTTAAGCCTTTATTCAAATTTCCAGCTAAATTTACTGATGGCTACTACTGTCTACAATTCAAATGTCTCTCTTCTGGCTTAATGCTCAGATACCCGTGTGCTTAGAGATTGTAATTACACAAACATTTATGTTAAAAAAACCCTGTCCCCTTATAAATTAAATAAATACATTTCTGATTTTTGAGCTGAAGTTTTATTATTTACCTTTGCCTTCCACATCAACCAGAATTTGAAAATGTCCACGTGTCGACCGCACTGTATTGCCTTATCTCCCGTGTCATAGGATACATCATACTGTTTGTCTTGCTGGAAGAGATAGCCTGCACACATTTGATTGCAGCCTTGAAGTATACCCTGTAATGAAAAACATGTACTTACATGGCATATGTGCATAAGAAACTGTATGTTTTATGTATATATAAAAACGTATTTAAAATATATGCAGAACTGTTATTTACTTGGTCAAATTATAAAATACTGACCTTGTTTTGTAAACCTGAGCCACAAAAACAATTTCATAACCTAAGGTGGTTCTTTACACACCCACATACCCACACCTGAAAAAACATTCTCAGATTAATTTAGATTCCTAAATTTTGATACTAACTTCATCCACTTCACTTTGTAAGGCTATGGTCTTAAGACTCAATTTTTTGATGTGTTAAATTATTTGACGTGTTAAATTACACACTGGAATAAAGCTCTCTCAGTGCAGCAGATAGCCACAGGGGGGGGGGGGGGGGAAGTAACTGAAAGCTTCAATTTTATATATTGTACAGTTTTATGACACTTAAAATTAGTGCTAAATGTAAGTACAAATGACCTAAAGCAGACATTTTTTGCTTACAAATAAATACAGTCCACAGACCAACAGAAACCTATGGATTATTGCTAAACATCTCTGAGCCAAACACAGAGGAGCAAATTCCTGTATGTTACACAGAAATCTTACACCTGTGACATTTCTCAAATGGTTTGCCTCTCCTTTAGGGTTTATTAGTGGTTCTTTGAAGAAGCTTGAAGATAATGGTGTATCTGATAAATACAAAACACCTATCAAGGTTCTCATATGGAGAATAAAAATTTTTGCCAAAATCCTGTGATAGCATAATAAGCATGCATGCCACTAAATAATATCTAGTGCTTCCCTTCAATAGATGTCAAAGCATTTTATAAAGGAAATAAATGCTGTAGTCTTCAGTTTAGCAATGGGTCACCTGTAGGAGCAATGGCAGACCTAGGGATGGAACCCACATCTCCTTCATCTCAGTTCTGTGCACAGGGACCACTTTTTCAACTAACATTTTCTAGTAGTAATTGATGTGTCAGAAATTAGTAGACAACAGAGTAGTCCTATCCACAGATGATAAGACTTTTTATTATAATCTAAGGAAAATATATATTGCTTAAAAGAATTAAGACACTGGTCTTGCTTTCAATGATGACAACAAAGAACCCAAAAGAAAGCCCTAAAAATATATATGGAGTCATAACAGAAGTAGCATGTTTTCTGTTCAACAGAACTGAGAAACTTTTAAACCACTGTGTAAGGTAAAAAAGTTGCTTTTTATTAAAGCAGTTTAGACTGTGAACAATTACTAAGACCAAGGGTGTATGTTCAGTGTATCATAGAAACAATGAGGCAGATGCTCAGATGAAGTATGATAGCATGGCTCTAATGTTGTTATTAGAATATGCAAATATTCAACAGCTAAAGATCTGACCCATATTGTCTACAGCTTTAACAACAACAAAAAAACCCCCCAAACAACGAAACAACCAAACAGCAAAGATAAAATAACTTCATAAACACAATGTAAATCCATACAATTATTCCCCCTAACAGTTCTGAAATTAAATTAACTTTTCACTACCCTCTTAAAAAGTAGGGCTTGATATTTACTTTTTTTTTTTTTTTAAAATTTTTTTTTTAACTGCTTATTTATTAATACAAGGCAGACCTTCTCCCGGACAAGAATGGCAGAACATTGTAACAACACTCCCATCATCTTGTGTGGGTTCCAAGTGACTGAGTTGGCTCTGCAAAGAATTACACATTCAGACAGGTCTGAAAAACAGAAACTTAACCTGAAGCAGTCACCTTTGGTTTCTGCTTTCAGCTGGAAATGTATGGAGTTTTGACCATGATGATTTCACTATGGACGTTATTAGTCTCAAGTGTCTTCTTTCCTAACTATACTGTCCAGGAAATTAATTTTTCGTGCTTTAACATTGCAATGTCAGACTTCTGATTAGTTTATATGATTACTAATACCAGCTAATTAGTGTCAGACTATGCTGATTAGCTGATATAGTAACTTCATCCCCAGAAGACTCCACTTCTAGAAACAGCACTAACAAAAAGTCTTGACAGGTTGTATCACTTCAAGGTACTGATTGGGGGAGGGGGGTGTCAGAGAATTAAGGGAATCATAGGAATTCTGGGACAATACAGTTCTTCAATGAACAGCTGCTGGAAAAGTAGAAAGCAAAGACATTCCTCATGCTTCTCTGCTTTTCCCATTCGATCCACAACAGGCCTTTTCTGCACTACCTTGTCAAGCCCACAGACTGTTAAAAGGCTATAAAGCTTTACATCACAGTCTTACCATTCTGTATATAAAGCTTAAAACTTCTTATGTATAAACACAGGGCTACCTCTTCATGGCCAGAGCAGCAGAGACAAAAAAACAAGGAGAACATATTTTCTGTCCCTTTTCTACAAACAAATCATGTGACAAAAGATCAGTGGTTAGGAAAATAACTTTTAGCAAACTTTTTATAGTCTTTTTTGCTTACTGACTTGCATAGAAGATAGACATAGAATCACGTATTTAAATATTTGAAATTATCATATTCCATTTATCACCATGACAGTAACTCAGTAGACAGAGGGTTATTGAATCTTCATTTTGTTCCACTACTCTGCTTCCATTATGGAGTTTTCCACTTGGAGGTACTGATTATCTAATCATTAAAACTGAACAAGCTGCAGGTGACTCTGGTGTCTATACTTTGAAAAGTCTAGCCAGTTGAAACTGTTCTGATAAGCCAGCTGTATTTAAAGATTTTGATATTACTTTTGGTTTTATTTATTTCATAAGCTCCAAACACATAGTGAATTTCATTTCACTAGAAGAACGATCCCGGTTAAAACACCCACAGAATTTAGTTAAAATGGTTGTAGAGATTAGTCCTGAAATACAACTCAAAAACAGGGGCCTTGGTTAGCAACCAATATTCACTAGGAAAGCATTCAGAACACTGAACAGACAGTCTGACATTACAATAAATAAAATTGAAAATTCTAATTGATTAAAGGGATCTCATCATTTGACAGTTTAGACCAATGTTAGAATTCCTTATATTCAGTAGAATTATCTGCAAGTTATTATTTTAAGGGCACTAGGATTTAAATGAAAGTGTCAACTAATATTTTTGTATTTTTTCTTTGGCTCACAAAGACACTAAAATACCATAAACATTATTTAGAACTTCAATAATATATAAATAGGATACATTACAAATGGAAGAAAATACAAGACAACTCTTCAGCATGGTAAATCTCTGCATATAAATAAGCAAATATTTCATATACCTACAATTCAACAGTTATCTTGCTGTAAAACTATTACATTTAAATCCTTTTACACAAAGTCATTTAACAATAATATACACAATCTACACAAATTAACCTCTAAAAATACAGCAATAATATACCTGTTACAATGACTGTGCTACTATTATCCCCTGATGTGACACTAAAGGGGAAATACAACTATTTTACTCGAAGGTGCTGTTAGAGATTGCTGTTTTGTACATGAGAGAAGCACCAACAATAAGATTTAATATTGTTATACATTTTCCTTAGCTCCTAAGACTCTATGTTTTAGAAATGTTTCTATATGTCTATTTTTACCTGGCGGAAAAACCTGTAGCACATTATCCACGTCATTAGGTTGTTGAAGGAAAAGTTAATTCTCTTAAAGTGGAAAACATGCTGTGGCTTAGATCTAAGTTTATAACCACTTCATATATATATATATATGTATGTATATATATATATTTATATATTTATTTATACTGTACATATATACTGTGCAGAGTTCTTAATTTGCTATCTTAGTACTTATTAATTTCCTGCTGACTACAATAAACAAGACCAATGTGAGAGTCAGTAGTACTTCAACTTCAAGATAATACATTTTCCCTCAGTAATATGATCTACCAATACATATATGTTTCAGTAGCCTATAGTTGTGTTGTTTAACAATGTCTTAGGAGACTGGAACTTACAGAAAGATAATTTCCTTAAAACATGTTCTGCAGAACTGGGTTAAAAAAATAGCCAGTGCTGGAAAACAGTGAATTAGAGAAATAAATAATTCAGCCACTGTACTACAGCTCCTGCCCCAATCTCTCTATTTCTTCAATGAGGAAGTCAATGTCAGACTTAGTTGCTGCAGGGTTTGAGATGACCATTCGGAAGAAGTTGACTTTATCGCCCTGAGGCTGGTATCCAACCATGGTAGTACCTGACTCCATCATCAGCGCTTTAAAAAAAAAAAAAAAAGAAAAGAAAAGAGAGCGAGAGACAAGAGTAATTTAAAAATTTTTTCCTTTCTTTGTATGTCACAACATTTCTTAATTTGAAAAAAAATAAATGGACAGATCAGGAAGGCACTAGTTTTTATAAAAATATATGTAACAGAAAAAGCTTGAAAAACTAAATATGTTTAATTAGATATTTAAAGGAAAATTGACAACAATAATATCCATCTTTTTGATTAATAGACTAATAGCATCCTAGAGTATTCATTATGCACTAATTTTATATATTAAATGTACATGTCATTCTTTGTGCTGAAGATTTTTGTCATGATGAAATGTTTTTTGTCTTTTTATGAAAACCTACTCCAGAACCACCTTTTTGAGGGTAACGGATGCTTTCCATGAGAATATTATGTATTCTTAAAGTCACTGGGGGTGTGTGTGTGTAGGGGTAGTGATCAACAATGGAAATTTTTCAACAAGACCAACGTCATATTTTCTGTAAGCAGAAGCCATGGAAACCTTCCAGTAGTTTTGTAGTACTGTGGATTTACTGCAATCTCACTTCCTCACTTTATTTTACAAGGAATAATGTGCTTTCAATTTTAATATTTGGTATTGACTGAGCCCAGTTTTTCCATACAGGCCTTTCTTCTCCTGCTCTGCTCTCTGCCAGCCAGGGTCAGATGTCTAGCTCTTCTACTGTTTTGTAGGATATATAATGTCCTCTAACATTTAAAGTCAAGTCAAATATTTCATCCTTCTTACCAGTCTTATCTATCTTCCTCATTTCTCTCTTTTCTGGCAATTTCTTTATCAAACATGTCACTGGGTATGACCCAGGAATTTCTATTCTCTTCTGTTCTCTTTCCCCAGTGTGATGCAGATATAAAATCCTCTACAAAACCTCCCAAGTTTGCCCTTTTTCTCCTGTCCCAAACATTAAAAAAAAAATTGCGATTCAACAACTATAAAATCATTCTTTTGTCTCATGAACATACTTCATTCCACTTCTGTCTGTCTAAAATGCTACTACAAAATTAATGTATTTCACTTCCCTTACATCCTAAGGAACACGATAGTTCTCACATCCTAAGGAACACCTGGTGGTGCATCTACAATGCCTTCACTTTTCTCTATCATTTCTTCAAATAAATTTATCCCAAAGTCCTCCAAAGTGTATTCATTTTCACTGAAATGCATTAATGCATGATTAACCAAGCACATTTAAAATCAAATTAAAGACCTGAGAAGGACTTAAAGTTTTCTATGTCCTTTACCTGTCCCAGCATTTTCAAATAATTACCCTTCCTTTTCTCTCGCTGATATGCTGGCCTATTTCAACAGGACTGGGATGTCTTTGTACTTAGCTACTTATTAAAGATTCACAACAATTCTGGGAGCACAGAATTCATACAAAACAAAGAATAACTGAGTATGTTCTGTATCTGGTTCTATAGGGCAAACGTGACTTCAGCCTCAGTATAAATAAGAGACAAAGGTGTGCAAGTATCAAGGTCATAACAAGTAATAGGGGAACTGATGTCCCAGACTTTGGAACATGTGTCAACACACAGATATATCACTTGTAATAAACAGATATATTATTTTTAATAAACAACTTTGGGTTAAAAGAGTAGACTATATTTTGCATTTAACAAAACCCACATACCCTGTGTAACTTTTCTCTTCTCTCATCACAGTCTGGCATGCCCCTGAGACTCGGCGGAATATACCAAAAACATACATTTGTATGTTCTGGCTGCAAAAAGAACCAAACACGTACATCAATTAAAAAAAATCAGATCAATCACACATTAATGGCTAGTCTGTACCATATTTTAGCTCACACACATATGGAAGAAAAAAAAATAGTATAAACGTTCCTAGTTCTGCATATTAAAAGCAAATAAATGGATTATAGTACTGCTGTCTGCATCCACTGTCTTAGATTCCCTATATATTGTCCCATTTACAATGTTTTAGGGTGCTAATGGAGTGCAAATGCTATTCACCTTCATGCAGTTTTACGAAGAACTGCTTTCCAGGATCATAGCAAGGGTAACCCAATTTTCCTTTTCTTAGACAATGGAGACACAAAGTATATTTGTTATTCTATCAACCAAGAGTTTATGCAGGGGCATTAGCAGTGGAACATACAGCAAAAATAGCAGATTCTCAGTTATGTATATTATAACGTGGGATCTCAGTGTAAGCAGATTGTGTTAAGGTAGTCTTCAATGCCCTAAACTGAGAAGACCTCTGCAGGAAAGAAGAGGAAATAAATCAGACACTTGTGGTACAGAACCACATGCATTTGGCTGAAAAACTGCCCAGATGCCAATAGTCGTGTAGTTCTTCAGAAAATAAGAGCAGTTTTGCATAGCTGGTTTGAAGAACTGTGAGAAGTGTGAAGGCTGTTTTCGGAATTCCATGCAGATTTGGCTCCTACACACAATTTAAATGAAAGAAAACTTACCTCCCCTTCAAAAACCATCTCAAATTCTTCTCTGTTTTTGATTTTAGTGTAGAGATATTCTGCCAGCTCCAGGCATCTGTTGATCTGATTTTCAAATCCTACTGTACCCTGTTTTAAAAAGAAAACAAGTATTAATTATATGTCATTTTTCCTCCTCTGATGCAATCATCTTTTCAGATAGGCTTCCCTCTTAGTTCTCAGTCAGAAACATTTAGCAGTATTATTTATCTTAATTTAAAAGTAAAGTTAATCAGCACTACAAAAGAGGCTAAATGTGGCCTAACTGTAATCACTATTTGGTTTTGGTCTCATTTTAAGAGAATTGTTATGATAATAACAGGGCTTTTGATATTTTTAATAATTATTTTTTTTTTTTTTTTTTTTTTTTTTTCAGTTTCCAAAAATACTAAGTCTTGGCTTCCAAGCTCTCGCTGAAGGACTAGGAACATGGAATAGAAACTCATTTGAAAGTGTAAGAGATGGGAAGTAATTTATTTCCTCTGAACAGTTTGCTAGAAATCTGCATTTTAAAAAAGTCAGTAAGCAAAAAAGACTATAAAAAGTTTGCTAAAAGTTATTTTCCTAACCACTGATCTTTTGTCACATGATTTGTTTTGAAAGATCCCAGAAAAAGTAGATGAATGTTGATTAAAAATAAATATGGAAAAAAAAGTTGTGGAGGCTTTTAAAAGTACACTTTGGACATGAATGAAGAAGTAAGAAAGACAAGGACATATTTGGGCTAAGTTCTTTTTACTGAGTAAAACGGCTGAAGGTAAAGTCAAAAGAATACTTCTGGGCTGAGGCTGTATATTTCTACTATGAAGACAAGAATATGATCACTCATGGTGGCTAATGCTGAATAAAAAATCTCCATAGCTCCTAATATTTTGTTTTCTTAACATTTTTGCAATATAATCATGCAATCTGCTAGAAACAGGTTCTATCCAATACCTCAGAGAACTCAGGTCCAAAAAATCTGAATCTGTCTCAAGACCAAACAGAAATAAAAGTAACTAAATTCTGGAGAAATTTAGATTCCAGATACACATATCAATTTAGCAACTTTATATTATTTTTAAAGAATCACATCCACAAATACTCTACTTTTGAATTTTAAATATGACCCATATCCATTATGGTTTCCGCTGTATTTTTTTTTCTTTATTGTGAAGTGTTCTACTTCTTTAGTGAGGCCAGATTAACAGGTGAATATAATGGCAGAGGTAGAATCAGGATGCTAGTTTCAACAAAATACGTTCAGCTGCTATTTAGAAGAACATTCTGTATGTGCTTTGATGGTGTCTGTAGTAAGCCCTTGGTAATTAAAACCATAAATAACACACTTCAAAGTTGCTAGTCATAGTCCGATTTTAATGTGTCATAAGCAGTTTCACGTTACTGGATTACAATACCAAAATGATTTATTTTGGAGGAAGAACTGACCCTGAACTGAAATGTACTTAGCCTGGTAATCAAACCTATGCCGATTACTAAAGTAATTGTGAGCATTTTGCATTGAAGTGTTGTGTTTCTTTTTCTGAAGTGCTTCTTAAAATAAACAATGGCAACTCTATAATCTGTTTAAAAGTAACTGTATACCTAAAGTTCTGTTATTTTCTTCCCTCAGCCTTCAATATTGAGGAAATCTGCATTAAAACATCTCTTATCACCATAGATTATTTATTATTGCTTCTAATTCTCACTCAGAGTGAAAACTGGTTTATGATTGTACATTTTATCATTAGATTTAATTTCAGTTTTTTATAAAAAAGATTAGACTGTGGACAGATCACCCAACTGAATTCTCATTTTGTCATCAACAGAGCAAGAATAATAGTAATAAGATGACTGTAGATAAAGAAATGCAAATTACATGTGTTTTCTTGACTACATGGATCGTCACCTTGAGAACACATAAGCCTGTAGGTAAGCCCATGCTTAAACTCAGCCATCCTGGCATACCACAGTAGTGCCAGGGAATCAACTATTAAATGACCACTTGGATAAAGCTTCTGAAGAAAAAGGCTTTGTTTTTAAAGTTGCTCATAAAATATATGCATTGAAACATGATGCTTAAAGGACCCTGGTAAGACATCAAGTCTACTCTGCTGGTACTGCAAGTAATCTGTCATAAAATACATATGTAAGTGTACAGAATTGCAACAACAGGCCATTTTGGTGTCCTGCCATCACTGGTTTTACTGCAGGACTCATCTGGTACTTAAGCCTTTATTCAAATTTCCAGCTAAATTTACTGATGGCTACTACTGTTCTACAATTCAAATGTCTCTCTTCTGGCTTAATGCTCAGATACCCGTGTGCTTAGAGATTGTAATTACACAAACATTTATGTTAAAAAAACCCTGTCCCCTTATAAATTAAATAAATACATTTCTGATTTTTGAGCTGAAGTTTTATTATTTACCTTTGCCTTCCACATCAACCAGAATTTGAAAATGTCCACGTGTCGACCGCACTGTATTGCCTTATCTCCCGTGTCATAGGATACATCATACTGTTTGTCTTGCTGGAAGAGATAGCCTGCACACATTTGATTGCAGCCTTGAAGTATACCCTGTAATGAAAAACATGTACTTACATGGCATATGTGCATAAGAAACTGTATGTTTTATGTATATATAAAAACGTATTTAAAATATATGCAGAACTGTTATTTACTTGGTCAAATTATAAAATACTGACCTTGTTTTGTAAACCTGAGCCACAAAAACAATTTCATAACCTAAGGTGGTTCTTTACACACCCACATACCCACACCTGAAAAAACATTCTCAGATTAATTTAGATTCCTAAATTTTGATACTAACTTCATCCACTTCACTTTGTAAGGCTATGGTCTTAAGACTCAATTTTTTGATGTGTTAAATTATTTGACGTGTTAAATTACACACTGGAATAAAGCTCTCTCAGTGCAGCAGATAGCCACAGGGGGGGGGGGGGGGGAAGTAACTGAAAGCTTCAATTTTATATATTGTACAGTTTTATGACACTTAAAATTAGTGCTAAATGTAAGTACAAATGACCTAAAGCAGACATTTTTTGCTTACAAATAAATACAGTCCACAGACCAACAGAAACCTATGGATTATTGCTAAACATCTCTGAGCCAAACACAGAGGAGCAAATTCCTGTATGTTACACAGAAATCTTACACCTGTGACATTTCTCAAATGGTTTGCCTCTCCTTTAGGGTTTATTAGTGGTTCTTTGAAGAAGCTTGAAGATAATGGTGTATCTGATAAATACAAAAACACCTATCAAGGTTCTCATATGGAGAATAAAAATTTTTGCCAAAATCCTGTGATAGCATAATAAGCATGCATGCCACTAAATAATATCTAGTGCTTCCCTTCAATAGATGTCAAAGCATTTTATAAAGGAAATAAATGCTGTAGTCTTCAGTTTAGCAATGGGTCACCTGTAGGAGCAATGGCAGACCTAGGGATGGAACCCACATCTCCTTCATCTCAGTTCTGTGCACAGGGACCACTTTTTCAACTAACATTTTCTAGTAGTAATTGATGTGTCAGAAATTAGTAGACAACAGAGTTAGTCCTATCCACAGATGATAAGACTTTTTATTATAATCTAAGGAAAATATATATTGCTTAAAAGAATTAAGACACTGGTCTTGCTTTCAATGATGACAACAAAGAACCCAAAAGAAAGCCCTAAAAATATATATGGAGTCATAACAGAAGTAGCATGTTTTCTGTTCAACAGAACTGAGAAACTTTTAAACCACTGTGTAAGGTAAAAAAGTTGCTTTTTATTAAAGCAGTTTAGACTGTGAACAATTACTAAGACCAAGGGTGTATGTTCAGTGTATCATAGAAACAATGAGGCAGATGCTCAGATGAAGTATGATAGCATGGCTCTAATGTTGTTATTAGAATATGCAAATATTCAACAGCTAAAGATCTGACCCATATTGTCTACAGCTTTAACAACAACAAAAAAACCCCCCAAACAACGAAACAACCAAACAGCAAAGATAAAATAACTTCATAAACACAATGTAAATCCATACAATTATTCCCCCTAACAGTTCTGAAATTAAATTAACTTTTCACTACCCTCTTAAAAAGTAGGGCTTGATATTTACTTTTTTTTTTTTTTTAAAATTTTTTTTTTAACTGCTTATTTATTAAATACAAGGCAGACCTTCTCCCGGACAAGAATGGCAGAACATTGTAACAACACTCCCATCATCTTGTGTGGGTTCCAAGTGACTGAGTTGGCTCTGCAAAAGAATTACACATTCAGACAGGTCTGAAAAACAGAAACTTAACCTGAAGCAGTCACCTTTGGTTTCTGCTTTCAGCTGGAAATGTATGGAGTTTTGACCATGATGATTTCACTATGGACGTTATTAGTCTCAAGTGTCTTCTTTCCTAACTATACTGTCCAGGAAATTAATTTTTCGTGCTTTAACATTGCAATGTCAGACTTCTGATTAGTTTATATGATTACTAATACCAGCTAATTAGTGTCAGACTATGCTGATTAGCTGATATAGTAACTTCATCCCCAGAAGACTCCACTTCTAGAAACAGCACTAACAAAAAGTCTTGACAGGTTGTATCACTTCAAGGTACTGATTGGGGGAGGGGGGTGTCAGAGAATTAAGGGAATCATAGGAATTCTGGGACAATACAGTTCTTCAATGAACAGCTGCTGGAAAAGTAGAAAGCAAAGACATTCCTCATGCTTCTCTGCTTTTCCCATTCGATCCACAACAGGCCTTTTCTGCACTACCTTGTCAAGCCCACAGACTGTTAAAAGGCTATAAAGCTTTACATCACAGTCTTACCATTCTGTATATAAAGCTTAAAACTTCTTATGTATAAACACAGGTGGATGCACAAAATCACTTAATTTACTAGCCAAACAGACGAGACATTCTATATTTTTGACATACTATCCTAGACAGTTTAATGATGATGATAAAATAAATGTGCCAACATTGCACATCCATTGAACTCTTCGCCCTAAGTAATTAATTACCAAATGTCCCCTTGATTCACTGTGTGTTCCAGAGAATGAAAGCCTATAATATTTCAGAGTATGCATGTGTTCTTACAATGTGGTTGAAAGAAAATTCCAAGGCATTTCCTCCTCTTCTACACCCTGCTCTCAGAGGACACAGACACAAACACAGTTGCTCTGTTTTGAACAACATAATGACTCCTTCACCCCAGTCTGAGGACCACCGATTCCATAAAGATTTCAGGTTCGATTCCAACCTCTGTTTGTGCTAGGTTAGGCTGTAGCACCTTTCAGTCAATGCAACAGCGCAGTCTGTGCTGTACCTGGGGAGCTCACCACCCCTCTAAAATCTCCTGCTTAGGCAGTGCAAGTCAGCAGGTATATAGCTCAGACTTAAGAGGCAATTTTCTTTTAAAAAACTTCACTAATAGTTCAGATGGAGTAGTCAAGAAACAGGAATTTATATAACAGCTCATTTCCTTTTGAGAGCACTGTGGTTTCAGTTTAGCAAATATATTTAACTTTCAGGGTTCTGAACAAAGACAATTTCAACTCGTTTTCACAAGGAGCGTTAGGTTTATTTTAACACAAAGCCGTCACTGCCTACCCTGCACAGCCAGGCTGCTGGAGGCTATCCTACCGCTGGCAATCAGCTCTGCACGGTGGCAGCACGCCAGCCCCTACATGCCCATGTCTCTGGGCAGGCCAAGCCTGGCCCCAGGATTAGCAACAGACCCCAGCTGGGGCCTGTGACGGGCAATTATGCAGTATGCATGTGCCCCATCCCAGGTTTGAAGATCTGAACAGCTGACTAAATAAGAAATAATATCATGCTTCATGGCCTGCTGCTTTCTGTATTTGCTGATTAACTGAGGGTGTTAATTAGCACCTCTGGGTTGACCTCAGGTCAAAAGAGGTGTGCCAAACTGCTGTGACCAAACCTGGGCAACTTAAGGAAACCACTTTACAATGCTGACCTCATATTAGATGTGTTGCCATAACCAGCAGATTAGACTGGGCAGAGGTTGATATGGTTCTGCTACTTCAGAGTACCCCTGCCACACCACACACTGCTGCCTCTGAGTCACAAGGGTTTTCATACAGTCCTTCTGTACATTATTCTTTATCTTGTACTTGTTCTTCACTTACTGTACGAGACACCCACCACTAGAAAAGTTTGGGAAAGTTTGTTTTCCCTAAGGAAGAGCATTGCTCAATGCTCTCATTTTACGCCTTTACACAGTGCCCACCTTCAGCATAGTTCACTCAAGGAAGCAATTTGGGGCTAATTTGAGACTACATGGGTAGAGCTTGTTTCAAACCTTTTTGCTTCCCTGGAAGCTGGCATCTACAATGATGGGAAAGATCTTATGTTTCTGATTCTTCGTTGCTTTTCTGATCTTTATTCAGACAGGCAGCCTTTTGATAGGACACCTTCAGAGGAAATTTAAATACAAACGCACCCTTTGGGTTATAAACATAACATGTTCTACAGACTACAGCCTTGTCATTGCTGAATACATCTGTGCCGGAGACTACACGTGGAACTTCTCCTGAGTCTGAATTGTAAGGGCTGGGAGGAGGGTCACACCCTCACTCTGCTATTGCTTCCAACACAAATGCTTTGCCTTTTTAAATTTGGTTCAATTAACTATTTAAGAAAGGCTGGCTTCTGGTCTCAGTGGGTATCGTGGTAACCTGGGTTATTTGCTTGGGGGCACACACTCTTTTCTGCAAACTTCACTCTGGCATCTACAAGAGCTTCCTGCTTGTCTCATGTAATCCCCACATGGCACCAACTCATAGGCCCCTGTGCCCTGAGATGTGGTGAGTTATCTGTGACTCTTCCTGGCCCCCCCCTTAAGTTCCCTCAGTCTTCTGCCTGGCACAGTAGAACTATACCAGCTCTGTGCTGTAACAGTTCTTTCCAGCCTTATAGGTACTGAAATTTGCCCCTAAAAATTGCTGCTAATTCAGTCTCTACCATGTGTTCCTCTCTTGTTGTATACACACATACATATATAAGCAATACAAAGCAAGCACACACATACATATATATATATATATATATATATATTTATAAACCTTCATTTACATTTCTGAGATTGTCCAGCTCTCACACTTTATTTTCTCCTCAAATCCTCCTTTACCCATTCCCAGTCTTATGATCCCTTCAAAGATATGCATAGAACAATTTCCCTTCATTTTTTCCAAGCAATATCCTTGTCCTCCAAATCCAAATCTGCCAAAAACTTACCTTTCACTCAGCTGCATCAGTTTTCTTCTGTAGTAGTTTCAATTTTTCTACTGTGAACATTTTCTGTCTGTCTAGCTTTAATTTAGTGTTTAAACTCTGCAGCAATTAATCTTTTCATTCATTTATGAAGTGTCACATACCTTATGAAAGTACTTTAATAACAGTATTACAAATAAGATAAGCACTGTGTAGTACCTTTCTATTCCATTCAATTTATGACGATGCTTTCGAGACATTAAGAGTCCACCTCCCCAGGCAGCCTGGAAGAGATAGAAAAAGAGAATACTCATTCTTCTAGAAAAGCTTAACATATTTTAATTTACTCAGGATCTAGTAATAACTATTTTAATTCAAGATAAAGTGTGTAAACAAAAAATCCTCTTTTGCCTGAGTAATAGCACTTCATTTAGTTACTTACATCTACATGAAGCCAGAGGTTATATTTTTCACATATATCTGCAATCTCTTCTATTGGATCAAAGGCTCCAAACACAGTTGTGCCTGCAGTTGCATTCACAAAGAGAGGAATGTATCCCTACAATAAAAATAAAAATATTAAATACAAAATCCCACATCTTTTTAAAAAAATAATGTGAAAATAATTTTAGAAATGTTGCTATCCCATTTTCCAGTGTAAGAATGTTTTTTTTTTCCCATGTGAAAGGTACATATAAGCAACATCAGAAACTAAGACATTTTATATGTGGCAGGAACAAACTCAGTTTTTATTGTACTGTAACTTCACAAAATTAACTAGTCAGAAGGCAAAGAGAAGTATTTCTTCTAATCTGTTTCAGTGAGGAGATTCAAACATTCTAGTAGAAGATTAGTAATAGTCAACTAAAGTTGAGACTTTTACAGAAGTATAAAGGAAAATTAATTAAATGTAATTCATGAGTTGTGATTTGAAGGCTTGAAGATGTTCCTCTAGTCTTTATCTACTAATAAGCAGAACAAAGCAATGCAAACAAAAGCAATAAATGTGGAACTATCAAAGTCAGACAATTTTGTATTCGATTAAATAAATGTAAACTGCAATTTCATAGACATATGCTCAAATGTAAAGAAGCTAAGAAAAAAAACCCCAGAAATTGATTGCTCTAACTTTGGTGGGTTTATACAAAATTAATGGATTTTTCATTGCATTGATTCAAGAAAAAGCAATGAATGCCTCAAAAAATTAAACTTACTGGCTATATTTACTAATCCTGCAGCCTCACACTTGAAATCTATGGGAAGTTTTAGTACTTCAATAGGATTTTTGATGGTTTTGGCTAAACTTTAAAGTTTGGATAAAAGTATGTTTAGTTTCATGTTTTCATACCTTTTCCCATATATTTTCAAACAGAAACTTATTTTTTAAAGTAATAAAATACAGAAGTGTTTCAAGAGTTAACAATAATTTGTTGTAAAACAGTAAGTAGAAACCTTAGCAAGACATATAGATAATTCCCTAAACAATACATGAATGTATAATTAAGAAGCTGAAAATATTATGATATTTCTATAATGATAATTTTCTCTTTCAACATTAATTCTCAGCCTTCAGAGTAAGAGATAATTTTACCAAGCAAAGAATTTAAGCACTAATTTTTAAAAACAAACCTTTTGTTTTGCTTCCAAAATTTTTGCCTCCAAATCAGCTGGTATTATTTTCCCTCTGTAATTATTGTAGAAACAGAAAGACAATGAAAATTAAAGAGCGCATGTGGAAATAATAGCAACAGTTGAAATAATTTAATAGGATTTTCTCAACAGGCCATTAGCAACCTGACACACTGTACTGAACCAGTTCTTAAGCCCAATACAACAATTTAACAGATGAACACATTTAATACATCAAAACCTTAGCATTCATCCTACCTTTCATTGCATTTTATCAAAATCACATTGTCTGTTCCAAATCCAAGTGCAGCTCCAGCTTTCTTTATTGAGTAGTGACTCTGCAGCAAAACATATGCACATTTAATGAAGTGGTTGTTTAATGATGAAGCATCTTCACCACATACATCAATAAATTAAGAATTAGCAGTGTATTAAGCTCACATGTTCTGAGGTGAAGAGAACCAGTTTAGGGACTGCAGCCATGCCTTTGGTTTTGACTTCAGGGAAATACTTGTAGCGTGCAGCCATTATGCTGTACATGTTGGAGATAGCTCCTCCTGTGAATGAATAAGAAATTAGTGGTAATGAGGAAAAATGTATATTAGACCAAAGACATACAAGTCTCATTTGCATTACGCAGTGAAAGTGGCAGTGAACTGTGAAAAAATAAATCTCTCAAGAGCATGGTCATCTTCCTAAACAGCACAGGGACAGACCCTCTCGAACGTCATTCTGATAGAAAGAATTTTCTATCCATCATCTCTTTCAGTTGCTAACATTTTGTAACACGTTCCTAAAAAGTTCAGCTTTCATTGTGCTGCTTTTGCATGACCACTTTTTGATAGCAAGAATAACAGGAACTTATCAAACTGAGTGAGACTGAAGAAATGTCGCACACTGGATGGACTTATCCTCTCTCACTGTAGGTATCAAAGTAGATGCCTTAAAGGTAGATTTCTACAGCCAAGCTAGTTACGCTAAGGTTCCTTATAGTCAGTTAAGTGAAAGAGGCACTTTGCAGGCTGTGATTCAACTAATGTATTTTGACACTTAATTTTGAGGAATGTGAATTGAAGGAAAGCACCTGTTTCTCTTGGTTTGCTGCTAAAAGGATCCCAGGACAATTCATAAAAGTCTAGGATAACTTTGTACTCTAATATTTCTTCATCAGCAAGACCACTGAGGAAGATCTCTATTTTTTTAGCAAATGGGATTGGAGACCAAGCAAGTGTGCATTCATGGATTTTATGTGGGCTGTTCCAAAAGGAGGTGGAATTGTTCTTCATCCTCTGAAATAGGATGGTGTCCCCCATGCCAGAACCAGACATCTGTAGTTCTGCTGGACGCCCATGTTGCTCACGCATGGGCCCAGGACCTTCCCATGGTTTACCAGTCTTTTCTGTCACTGCTGACTGCCTTTATACCACCTGCATGGGAAAATACTTTGTCTTGATCTTCATACTGGAACCATCCTTGCGAATCCAGTCAGATTATGTCCCATATAATATGTCCCAGATAGTGACAGGCAGTGTTTTTCTGACTGTAAGCCCAAATTCTCACTGACCATTAAAGAAGCCAGTCCACGATTCTCAAGAACTGTTGGTCAGCAGGAATTATGGTTGCCTAGCACCTCCAGAAATGAAGTGCAAAGGAAGTGTCTTTAAATGCCTAACTATATACCAGAGCTTGCAGTCAAGTTTTAAAATGTTGACCAGCCATGATACATAGGCATACTCAAAGATTTTTTTTTTTTTTCCCAAAATTTTTTTTTGGGAAATGTTTAAACAAAGCATTCCTACTTCTAAATATCTGATGGATTGTCTTGTGCTGCAGATGTTGTGGGCATTCAGACACAGCTTGTGTTTATTTTAACTTTTGAAGTTTTAGTTAAAACACCAAAACAGAGAAGAAAATCTCACCAGGTGAGAATATTCCATCCCCATCTTTATTTGACCATCCAATAATCTCTCTCATCTTTCGAAGTGTTATTTGTTCCATGAGGACAAAAACAGGGGCAATTTCGTAGGTAAACCTGCATGGATAAAGCAAACAAACAAACAAACAAAATAAATCAAATACAGATTCTAAAAACACACAATAAATTCTCAGTCTATGACTCTTTGTGGAAATGCTTAAGGTTCCTAAAAGTTTTTCTATAAATTGAGGTTCTGATATTGCAATCTTTACCCAAGCAAAAATCCTCAGGAAGACAATAGTGGAAATATTGGTCAATAAAAACTGCAAAGTTAGCCCTTTTGCAACTTTCTATATAACCAAAGATCTAATGCTCATCATCAGAGTGCTACTGCCTGCTGTACAAAATTGTACTGTAAAATATTTTTTTCCCAAAGTGTCAGTTCCACACTTGTGGAATAACATATTGCCAAATCCTTATGAAAACAGTGAACTTCACTGAGCTAAACACCACCATAATTAGAAGTATTGAGCTAGGGTTTCAAAGTCTAAACGCAATTAATTATGTGGATTTATTCTGTTGATGATCTCCAAGGACAACTTATTTCTACAATACCATGAGATCAATAACTGTCAAGAGTAATTATAAATGATGATTTTCTAATTACCAAAAACAAGTCAGCAGTCAACTATTGTATACACTTAATGAGGGCAAAAACCACTGCATAGTCTGGTATGCCCTCATGTCACAGACAGATATGTGGATGGAAAATGACAGCCATACAACCATTTTTGGTGATCAAGGTACATGGATAAATTGCTACTGCTGTAAACAAACTCTGCTTGCTGTGTATGCCAAAAAAAAAAAAAAAAAAAAAGAGGAGGGAAAGGGAAGCAGAAAGAAACAAACCCATAATTTCCAAAGGAATCTATACGAGTATGACTCCCTAACACTGTATCTGACTGATGTCTTCCACTTGAATAATTTCACAAAAAATGTGTTGGCTAATACTAAAATGACATTTTTAGAATGTCATTTCTATGGCAAACTTTAAGGAGACATGTGATATGAATAAGGGAACGTGTGTCTGAAAAGCTTGTCTTTTATTTACAACTACACTGGTTAGTCAAAATATTTTTTCTACAATTCTTATGCATCCTTAGTCCATCAGAGAAACACCATCACTATTTTTAAAACATTCCTGTAAGATTAAATAACATTTGTAATATGTTTAATTGTTGTGATTGCTTTTTTCAGAAGCCAAAATACTGCTTATTTTGCTTTTATTATCATTAGAACTTTCAGAAACAGACAGTTGAACACTGATCTGAAGTTTGCTGCCAGTATTTACAGAGAGAAAAAAAACCCCTAATAAATCAGCTGGTGTCTGCTAATAGTGGGTTTGTGTTTGTTTTAAAGCACTGTGGGCCTAGGATATATTTCAATATTTATTTGGGCAGAATGACCAACTGAAGTCGACAGGAACTTGGCAGTGTATAGATCATTGTAGCCTAGATACGTTTAAGTCAGTGTGACTTTTTTCCACCACTTTAAACACATTTTGATTTTTGTCCTGAGACCTTGCACACTGATCCCTACATACTTCCCAGAAGACTTAAATGCTTCTACAAAAAAATATAATGTTAAGCAAGTTTTTTGTATATAAAATATCAGTGCTCACAAGGGGAACTTTGAATATACTTAAACCCAAGTAAAATAGCATTTATTTAGTTTATTATGTAATTATTTTCTGAATTTCCAAAGACTGACAAAGAAATAAAAAACTGCAGGTGATTATAAATGATAAGGCAAATACAGCTATATTAGATGAAGTCTATGATTTTAAAAATCACATATTGCTGAAGTTCACTCATGCTTATTTGTTTAAACAAATGTTTTTGAAAAATTCAGTTAGACACAGAAAATGTGCTTGGCTTGGAAGGAACTGTCCGAATTTAGAACGAACCTCCTGACAAAAAATGCTGATTAGATTTTTTTGTACAGTTACAACCTTTACAGGTATCTCTATTAATTAACTAAAACAGTCATGAGTCTCAGCTCTTTACTAACAGAAAAAAAAATGAATGGGTTTTTTGGTAGTGGCCAGTGCAGGCTTTATTCTGCTCTCACCTAAAGGCCAAATCCTTTTACCAGGCCAAATCATTCTAGCTACCTGTTCTCCTATTTGCCCATATATAAAAAGCATTCTGAGAAAAAACATAAAGCTTTTTACATCATTTTTCTATATTACATTTTCATAAGCATAAGTGCATAATACTGAAAATACCAATATATTTTTCCTGTCTTATCTAACAGTGGGCACGAAGAGAACTTGCAGATAATATTATTGTTTTCTAACCTCAGTTGACCGCTGCATGGTGAGCAAATGCCCTGTACTACATATCCCTAGAGCCAGATGAATAACACCAACTTTGAGCTATGAACAAGCACGTTAATACATTATTTTCAAGTCAATGTGGGAAGCTTATTATGTTTAATTTAATATATTATCTTCACAGCGACATTTAAGTAACATTCCTAATGACAATTGAAATTTTAAGAGAGTACATATGTTTTGAGTACTCAAAACTCATTTGCAAAAGAAAAAACATATTTTTAAATTGTTCACAAGTATTGTTTATAGGTAGAAAAGAAAAAATAGCAAATGGAAAACATTCCCTGCCATAATCCAGTGTTACTGTTGCTTGCGTGTTGCATACTTGTGCAGATGAAATAGGTTAGAACAGTTTCGAGGTAAAGGTCAGAACCTGCTCTTCTGTACTGGAACACTGCTCAAAACAAATATTTCCCAGAGCTCACAGAGATGACTTGGCTATTTTTAATAACCTTCTCTGTCAGTTCTTTGAATCATATTTTACAAACATCTTACTTTAACCTTACTTGCAATTACTGTGTTATTTGAAAGCATTTCATGTTGACCTTGTTTTGCTGAAAAAAAGAGCAATGTATTATTTTGCATTTGCTAAACCTCACTCAATTTTCATGCTCACAGAGAAGTATTTTCAAGATATGTTCTTGTTTAGATGGATCAGAAAGTAGCTTTACAGAATTAACTATTTAACAATTTACTTTTAAAAACAAAGGAAAAAGCAACCTTTTTTTTTTTTTAAAAAAAAAAAGTTGCTCTTTCAGAAGTGTGCCATGCTCTTAATAATGATGGCAATATTTCATAATACTATCACAATCTGCCACTGAGCTGCATTCTATTATGTCCTGTCAACTTTGTGCAGTTTCACTGATTACAAAAGGATAACTTAGCTAGGATAACTAACGTAGTTAAAGGAAGGGGGAGTTGCAGTAAGTGACACTCTGAAGTATGTTCTTGTCACAGAGGAACAATATTTAAGCAAAGTTTTCTCTTAGAAATGTAATCAGATTTAAAGTACTTTGCAATACTTGTTTTATGATTAAAATATATGTTGCTAGGTTTGCTTCCCAACCAGCTTTTAAATCTGAATGCCTCATACCAACTTTTAACAAACAGAGAACTAATCTAGAAGACAATTATTACAAAGAACAGGCTGGTTGTGGCTGGAGCACCTTGTGTATTTTTCTTTATTGCTAATGTCATGAAACAGGCACAGCTCATAATCTACATAGAGCTGCTAGTAACCAGCTATACTTAATGAACCATATACTCATGGACAGGCCAGTGAAAATACTGTTAATTTTCCAATCTGCAGATACATTTCCTGTGTTCTGCTGATTAGCCACAAACTACCCAAACCAGAGGTAGCTTTAGAGTTAAAACACATCCAATAGAGGACTAAAACAGAGCAGACTTATCTGCCAAGTATTTGGACTTCCATTACATTTTGGGGCATATACAAACCAATACATAAATAAAAAATGGCTAGAAGGATTTTTGGCTGGTGATTTTTTTTCTTCATTAATTACACTCTTTCTTGTAAAAATTCAACATAATACCTTACATCTAGCTTTCATTAATTTTGAGGTCAAGAAAAATTAGGAAAAGTTTCTTCCTTGCTATGTTCTAGATGTAAATTTTTATACATATTATATATGTAAATATATATATGGAGTTTTTTAGATTTTTATACTTCCAATTATTTATTTACATACAACTTTAATAAATCTTAGACTAATTCCTTCATTATAATAAAATTATTTTTCAGTGTTACACTTTTAATCATTTTGAAGGCACTCAGAAACCACTTCTTTACCAGCACATGAGCAGGAGAAGGTGGTGCCCCAAGCCTGCTACCTCTGAAATCAACAGGAGGAAAGATAATAAACTTTTCGGTATTTTGTATTCTAGTGTTAATATAGGGATAGCTGCAGAACTACTAGAGACCAAAAAACAAAACAAACAAAAAACCCACAAAAAAAAAAAAACAACAAACAACCGGGAAAAGATAAAGAAGATTGGTCCAAGGGAAGAAAAGTAATTTCATGTTATATTAGAATCATCATGTTTTACTTACCATGTGCTGTGGGATCTTTGCATTTCTATTTATCAGAAATGTAAAACTGTTTAGCTTTATATAACTATTTTCACTGTATTACTGCCACATAAAAAAAAAAAAAAACCAAACAAAAAACGAGACGCTTTTATTGAAGACTCGGCAATCGTCATTTAAAGAAGAAAATGATACACGTCTGTGACAATACAAGTCTACCATGATAGATGGAGCCGCTGTGAGCAGCGGGCACAGGCGCTGATGACCGGACACCGCTTACATGTTTGTATTAGCAGTTGATGTCAGCCACTCCCCAGCCAAGCCAATGATGTCCAGTCCCGTGGACAGCTGATTGAAAAAGCGAGGATGCCCTGGGAAGAGAATCGAGAGCAACTTAGAACAACTCCACCGGCACCCCCCGGGCTTCAGTTTTTAAACCGTCCGATTGTGCGAACACAAACAGTAGCTTCGCACTCATAACACACTTGCCGACAAGTTTTCAAAGCCAGTCCTGCTTACGGGGAGACCGTTAACCAACGTTCACGGATGCCTCGCTATAAACTTGAAAAAAACCGCTTTGGAGCGAGCTCCTGTATGGAATGATTACCGTTTAAATAAAAAGAGAGAACCTCAGAGCCGATTAGAGCCTGTAAAGCATCTCCGTAACCTGTGCAAGGGCTCAGAGTAGCCATGGCCCCAGCCCCCCCTCCCTCCGCCGTGCCGTGAACCCGGAGGGGGGGGGGGGCGGGAA